ACATTCCTAAAACACAGGTTCCAGGCTTGGCTACAACTTTTACTAACTGGCTGTATTGACTTAGTAAAGTCACTTAATCTCCCTGAGCCTCATTTTCTTCATCTTCATTACAGAATTTTCATTACAGATTTTTTTTTCTCATTAAACTTTTGTTTTAATGGGTCTCAAAATTCTGTGACAGATTTTTGGTCGTTTCCATTAAAAAGTACTGATTTTAAAAACTAATAACTTAAAACTGCCACACACGCACAAAAAAAAAAAATGGTCCACAAAACATTCTCCTTTCCTTCTGAAGGTTTTACGATGCATTGTTATCATTAGCCAGTCTTTTACTATTAAACTTAAATGGCCAATTGACACAAACAATTCTGAGACCGTTCTTCCACCACTGATTAAGACTGGGGTGGCAGGTATTGGGGATAATATTCATTTAGCCTTCTGAGCTTTCTGGGCAGACTTGGTGACTTTGCCAGCTCCAGCTGCCTTCTTGTCCACTGCTTTGATGACATCCACAGCAACCGTCTGTCTCATGTCACGAACAGCAAAACGGCCCAGAGGAGGATAGTCAGAGAAGCTCTCAACACACATAGGTTTGCCAGGAACCGTATCAACAATGGCAGCATCCCCAGATTTCAAGAACTTGGGACCATCTTCCAGCTTCTTTCCAGAACGACGATCTATCTTTTCCTTCAGCTCAGCAAACTTGCAAGCAATGTGAGCTGTGTGACAATCCAGCACAGGTGCATATCCAGCACTGATTTGGCCTGGATGGTTCAGGATAATCACCTGAGCTGTGAAGCCAGCTGCTTCCATTGGTGGGTCATTTTTGCTGTCACCAGCCACGTTGCCACAACAAACATCTTTGACAGATATGTTCTTGACATTGAAGCCCACATTGTCCCTAGGAAGAGCCTCACTCAGAGCTTCATGGTGCATTTCAACAGATTTTACTTCATTTGTAACATTGACTGGAGCAAAGGTGACCACCATACCAGGCTTAAGAACACCAGTCTCCACTCGACCCACTGGGACAGTACCAATACCACCAATTTTGTAGACGTCTTGGAGAGGCAGACGCAAGGGCTTATCAGTTGGACGAGTTGGTGGCAGAATGCAATCCAGGGCTTCAAGCAGTGTGGTTCCGCTGGCATTCCCATCTTTATGGGTGACTTTCCATCCCTTGAACCAAGGCATGTTAGCACTTGGCTCCAGCATGTTGTCACCATTCCCACCAGAAATTGGCACAAATGCTACCGTGTCAGGGTTGTAGCCAATTTTCTTAATGTAGGTGCTGACTTCCTTAACGATTTCCTCGTATCTCTTCTGGCTGTAGGGTGGTTCAGTGGAATCCATTTTGTTAACACCAACAATTAGTTGTTTTACACCCAGTGTGTAAGCCAGAAGGGCATGCTCACGGGTCTGCCCATTCTTGTAGATACCTGCTTCAAATTCACCAACACCAGCAGCAACAATCAGGACAGCACAGTCAGCCTGAGATGTGCCTGTAATCATGTTTTTGATAACGTCTCTGTGTCCTGGGGCATCAATGATGGTCACATAATACTTGCTGGTCTCGAATTTCCACAGGGAGATATCAATGGTGATACCGCATTCACGTTCAGCTTTCAGTTTATCCAAGACCCAGGCATACTTGAAGAAGCCTTTTCCCATCTCAGCAGCCTCCTTCTCAAATTTTTCGATAGTTCTTTTGTTGATCCCACCACTTTTGTAGATCAGATGGCCAATAGTGGTAGACTTGCCCGAATCTAAGTGTCCAATGACAATGATGTTGATATGAGTCTTCTCCTTTCCCATTTTGGTTTAGGTTTAGCGGTGGTTTTCACGACACCTGTGTTCTGGCGGCAAACCCGTTGCGAAAAAGTCATTACAGATTTTTACTGTAATCTTCATTACAGTAAAAACAATGGCTTTTAAAAAGCCCTAATGAATTAATAAAGGTAGGCATTGAGCACCAATAGCTGATAAATCACACACACAAAAAAGAAATACTCAGATTATGAATTTACAAGGAAAAATAAACCTGATTCTAATGAAGCCTCAAGATCTAACTACCAATTTACAGGAAAAACAGTAGACTAGAGGACCATATTAAGCCATACTGCAGGGATGCAATCAGTAAAATTCAGAGTATAGGAAACATTATAAGATAGACAACCCAGTGTCTTTGACAACAGAAAAAAATAGCAAGGAAAAACAAAAAGACAGAAAAAGAGGAAGAAAATATACACCAAAAAAGACTTATGGAACATACACAAATCTGATTTGGATTCTGACTCAAACAATTGTGAGAAAAAAACTTGTGGCACCTCTAGCTTTCACTCAGGGATAGAGAGCTACATAGAACATCATTCTCATCATACTTAAAACAACAACCAAAAAAAAATATATATATATATATATATATATAAAGCCAGACAACTACATTCATGATTTTTTTTCAAATCCATTGGAAAATGAGGTCTCAGGGCAACCAGCTGGTCTAAAACACAAGGAGGGACAGATGCCTGTAAGGAGAAAAGAGATGTGGCCATTCGTGTACCTGGGGTAAATGCCACTGTATGGACATCTGTGAGAGAATTCAGTGAGAATAGTTAATATAATATTGGCAAATCAAACATTATATAAAAGAATAGTACCTCATAACCAAGGAGGGGTTTATCCCAGGAATGCTGATTTGAAAATCAATCAACATAATTCACAATGTTAAAGGAAAAAAAGAAGAAGAAAAATCATGTTTAATGGCAAAACAAACAAACAAACAAACAAACTGAATGCCCTCCCAATGAGTTCAAGAGAGGAATATCCTCTCTCACCACTTATTCAATACCAACTGGATGCATCATGCTTGGCACATTCCAACCAACTCAATAAAACAACAAAAGAAAACCAAGTCTTACAAATTGGAAAAGAAGAAAGAAAACGGTCTCCATTCATATATGACATGATTGTCTATATAAAAAAAATCATAAATTATACACCAAAAATACCTCCTAGAACCAGTATAGCAGTTTGGCACCTTTGCAGGATACAAAGTCAATTCTACATATTGGCAATGACAAATTAGATTTCAAATGTTTTTTAAAATACCACTTATTGCAATAGCACTCCAAAAATGAAATTTAGTTTCATATATGTCATATATGTGCAATATCTGCATGGTGAAACATATGAAACACTAAAGAAAAAAAAAAACAAAGAAGATCCAAATAATCACATTCATAGATTGGAAGACATAGTATTATTAAATTGCCAATCCTTCCCAATATGATCTATAGATTTAACAGAAAATCACTGGTATACAGTAACTCTCTATACTGCTTTTGAAATTCTTCTGTAAGTCTAAAATTATTGCAAAATAAAAAGCTTTTGAAATTTATAATTAAGGAATCACTATTAATTGGTTTTTAGATGAGATGAAGGTATTGGGGTTATGTTTTGAAAACTCCCCACCTAAGAGACATAGATTTAAATTTTAAATAATTGGAAATTCTCTAAATGGCAGCCATCACAGAATTACTTTTTTCAGACAAGAATCATGGATGCTAAAATTAGTGAGTGAAAGTATTATGAGAAACAAGACACTTGAAGGGTGCCTGGGTGGCTCAGCAGTTAAGCGTCTGCCTGCCTTTAGCTCAGGGTGTGATCCTGGAGTCCCTGGATTAAGTTCCACATCGGGCTCCCTGCATGGAGCCTGCTTCTCCCTCTGCCTGTGTCTTTGCCTCTCTCTGTGTGTCTCTCATGAGACACAAATAAATAAAATCTTAAAAAAAAAAAAAAAGAAACAAGACACTTGAATTGGCTCAAATATATCCCCTACAAGATACTTATTAAATACAAAGAGGATGATAGTAACTTTTCAGCTAAGTAACCTGGCAAACATTATCTTAAGCAAGTACCTCCTGATACGATGTACAGAGAAGGACACAGTACCATTGCTAAGGATTCCTGCCAAAAATGCATAATCTGAATCTTAATCATGCAAGAGCATTTATTGCATAAAACTGTACTAAAGGACAGTCTACAAAATGACTGGCCTGTACTCTTTAAAATGTGGAAATCATGAAACGGAGACAGACTGGAAGGAGACAAATGATATGGGATTCAAAAGCAACATGTGATCCTGGGTCAGATCCTGGATCTGAAAGAAAAATTGTCTTTGCTGTGAAGGACATTAATGGGGCAGCTGTCAACATTTAAATAAGCTTTTATTTTTTTTTTAGAGTTTATTTATTTATTCATGAGAGACACAGAGAGAGAGAGAGAGGCAGAGACATAGGCAGAAAGAGAAGCAGGCTCCCAGTAGGGAGCCTGATGTGGAACTCAATTCCAGGATCCCAGGGTCACAACCTGAGCCAAAGGCAGACGCTCAACCACTGAGCCACCCAGTCACCCCTTAAATAAGCTTTTAGATTGGCTAACAGTGTTGTGTCATTTTAATTTCTTGATTTTGATCACTGTATAAGGGTACTGTTTTTCAAGTATCACACAATGAGGTGTTGGGGGAGTTTACTTTCAAACAATTCAAAAAGAAAATTATATATACATACATAATATATAAACACACATAGTGAAATATTAGAGAATATTTATTGTATTTATAGAGTATATTATGTATTTAAAATGTTTTATTTATATATTTATTAATATATACAGAAAAAATGATCAAGCAAATATGTTAAAATGTTATCTTGTGAATACACAGGAATTTTTTACACTATTTCTGTAACTTTTCTAAAAGTCTGAAATTATCCAAAATAAAAAGTTTTTAAAATTAACAAGAGATAATAATAACATCTTGAGTCCATGGCCTCCCCTATTTCCAAATAGCTTCTGTCTATCCCAGAAGCAAACTGACTCTGTCTTTCATCCATTAGACCATCCCAGCCATCTGACTTAAAACAACACGAATTAGATTTGATGGCAACTGCACAGACTAGACTTTGCTGGCTCATGCCCCTAGCTCCACTTTCTCTACAACCATGTCTGACAAACCTGATATGGCTAAGATAGAGAAATTCAATAAATCAAAATTGAAGAAGACAGAAATGCAAGACACAAATCCACTGCCTTCAAAAGAAACAACTGAACAGAAGCAAGCCAGTGAATCGTGATGAGGCATGTGCCACCCATATGCACTATATATTCCACAAGCATTGACTTCTTGTTTTGCTTCTCTCAGTATGTATTCCTCCTCCTAGCTGTTTAACTTTATAAGATGCAAAGAGGTTAGATCAAGTGTAAATGACTGTGCTGCCCCTCTTCACATCAAAGAACTACTGGACAACCACAGCTTATGCCTCTCCCATCTGCCTGTCTGGCTGGCAGGAAAGGAAAAGTTCCTGCATACTGGTGAAAGAAGGAGCTAGGTGGGACAACAGTGATATTTAGAGCAAAAACCAAGCTGGCCTAAGGTGCCCTGAAAGCTGTAAAATGTGGTTTAACCAGAGTGCCACATTTTTGTTCAAATGATTTTACTGGAAAATCATTTTTCATATGCAAATTAAAAGTTTTAAAACCAAAATAATAATAATTAAAAAAAAAACCCGCAAACTTACTATCTTATAGATCGGCAGGTCAGAAGTCCAAAATGACTCTGTGGGATACAGTCAAGGTTTCAGCAGAGCTTGAACCTTCTTTCCTGGAGGCTCTAGGGGAGAATCGGCTTCCTTGCCTATTCCAGCTTCTAGAGGTTGCCTGCATTCCTTGGTTCATAGCCCCTACCTCCATCTTCAAAACCAGCAGCATAGCATCTTCAGATCTTTGCTGACTTCCTCTTCTGCCTTCCTCTACTTTAAAGGACCTTATGATTTCAGAGGAGACCCACCAGGATAATCCAGAATAATCTCTGTCTCTTAAAGTCAGCTAATTAACAACGTTAATTTCATCTGCAACCTAAATTCTTCCTTGCCATGTAATGAAATATATTTACAGGTTGTAGGAATGAGGACATGAACTTCTTTGAGTGGCCATTAATGTGCCTATCACAGTTACCCTCTGCCTGGAATGCCTGGAAAGTGTGCCCTAGCCCCCAAACCCTTCTGGCTAACCAGATCCCTAAATCATAATTCTTTCAGAAACGTGTCCTTAGCTAGTTGGAAATGTTATAGTGATTGCTCCAGATCTAATTTCCTTAACACTCCCATCCTCAATAAACTTAACGATGTTACTTATCTGGTAAGTTTTTGTTTGTTTGTTTGTTTGTTTGTCTGCTTGCTGGCTTATTGTACAGCCTTCCTTTCTTTAGCTGTTATTATCATTGTCTGATTGAGTCTATAAATTGTAAGGCTGATGCACACAAGCAAAATAAATGTCACTGATAAGGAAACACTTTCTAATCCCTAACTTAAATTGCCTTTGCTGAAATGTAATCATTTATTCCTAACCTCACTTTGGAAGCAACAGAAAAGCAACTAGTCAATATCCACCATAAAAACCTTTTAGATTTAGAGTCCTTCTAATGCCAGACAAACAAACAAACAAACATAATATGTCAACCAACCAGCCAATCTAGGACAAAGGCCAGTCAAGTTGGTTTTTGGAATTATGGAGTGATATAGTCAAGCCCCAAGATACATAGCCATCCACAAACATGACCTATATGATATCTTCCACTTTTCCTTCTTAGCCAACATACCCTTACTCCATCCTTGCCTATTTCCTCAAGTTCTCATCGTTTAGGCTGCCTTCCCTTAGTTCTGATTCCTTCCTGACTTCTTTATGTAAGTTGAACTTGGACCTGAGCTTGTTTCTTCTTCAAATGACAAAATCTTGTTCATCTTTCAAGATTCTTCTCACATGATCCCTTTCCTCACCAAGAACAATTAGCCATCTCTTCTCTGTGTTCCCACTGGATATGCCAGGGATTCATGACTCTAATATAACAGTTAACTTGTGGAAATTGAAGTTCCTTCTACATCACTGTCAGCTTTGAACTCAACTCTGGTTACTGGACTGTGAATACCAGGAGGCGGCTATTGTGAGTCACATTTGTTGTTTATTCAGTAAGTCAGTCCTCCAAAATTTCTCCCTACCTCTTTGTTTATTTCTTCTATTTTCAGATCAATTCCCCTTTGCCTGGGAGAATTCCAACTCAGTGTTGGAATCCTTCAACACTTGGTCTTTGGTCCTGTTCTCTCAGTATGTATTCCTCTCCTAGTTAATTTTAGCCATTCCCTCAGTTTCAATGGCTATTTTTATGCAAATTACTCCCGCAGGTACATCCCACCCAGAACTCTCCTCTGAGTTAGGTTTATGCCATCCACTGTCTTCTGAAGATCTTAAAGAAACGTCAAACACTTGTTCCGAACAAAAACTCAGGAACTTTTTCCCTGGGTATGAGAACTTTTGGTCACCTTCTCAGCACCCATTTCCTCCTTCCTACAGCAGCAACATCCTGATTTCCTTCAAGAACTTCACCTCTCCTACTCTTGGCCAATCTAGTCTCCACAAGAATGACCTCATCCCTATCCACAACCAGGGGTAGGCAGTGATTAACCTAACCCAATCCACATATCCCATCCCCCTAAGCAAGGTGTCTCTTAGCCTATGGGCATGTAATCCAATCAGAGCAAAGGAGTCACAGTGATGCTTTAGCTGGGATCCTAGAGAGAAAAGCCCACTGTACTTGCGCTTTTCCTGTACTTGGTCATCTGAGAATGTGGTCATCTTGCTTCCCCAAGCAGCCAAAGAGAAGCTGAGCTGAGACTTAGATCCTTGTCATAGTTTGGCCCCTAAATAAGTCATGCCTAAAACTAGTTTACCCCCCCCCTTTTTAAATCTCATTTCTGTTAATCAACTAATTCTCCTTTAGTTTAAGCCAGTTTGTATTAGTTTAATGAAGAAACTTAACTGATATTCTCTCCCTACACCTGACCATCCAGAGTCCCCCAACTCAGTGAATAACAGCATCATCCATTCAGTTAAGAAAGTCAGACACCTAGGAGTCATTTCAAATATCTCCTTGTCCCTCACTTGCCGTAGCCAATCTGTCACCAAGTCCTGTCAATTAGAGGTCCTAAATATTTTTCAAATCTATTTATCTCCATCTTTATTGCTGCAACTATGTTTTGCCTAGACTACAACAGCCCATGAACTGCTCTACCCTCACTTACCTTCCTTCCTCCAATCCATCTTCTACACTGCAGCCAAAATGATCTCTTTGAAGTACAGAAGTGCTAATTCACCACCCTGTTTTTTTTTTAATTTTTATTTATTTATGATAGTCACACAGAATGAGAGAGAGAGAGGCAGAGACACAGGCAGAGGGAGAAGCAGGCTCCATGCACCGGGAGCCCGACGTGGGACTCGATCCCGGGTCTCCAGGATCGCGCCCTGGGCCAAAGACAGGCGCTAAACCGCTGCGCCACCCAGGGATCCCCACCACCCTGTTTAAAACAACAATTTTCCATTGCTTTTAAGACAAAGACAACATTCCAAGCTCCTTCACATGGTTTCTCTACCTGGCTTCCCCCCAAAACAGCAGAATACAAAAGCCTGCCTGTATTGTTTTATTTGGGAATTGACCCCAAGAAATAGGAGTCATGGATTAGGGAAAATGAGTGAAACAGAGAGAGAGGAAATAAATGAGCAAGTTGACCACCACTGGGAGCAACTGTGATCAATCCAATGGGAACTTCTGAGGGACTCTGGGGAATGCATTTCAGAACTGTTTACCAGAGACAAAGGGGAGAAGCATTCACTATTCAACTTTCATCCACCAGTGGTTGGGGGTTGCCTGTAGGCGCTAACTACTGGACACTTATGAGCTGCTCACATGTGATTACCAGTGGTCTCTTTATAAGGACCCCAGGCACAGTTGGAATGAGGTCAGCATAGAAGTGGTGGGAGTTGGTATGGCACTGTCCACCATAGCCTTCACTGAAATAGAGGCCATGAGATAATATAGTACAAGTGTCTGATACCATACATAGTCTGGCCTCTATCTCATCTTCCAGCTTCCTCTTGACCTCTTTTATTTCATTCCAACCATGCTTGTCTTATAGCTTCTGGACTCCATGTGTTCCCACCCACCACAGGGCCTTTGAACATGTTATTTCCTCTGCCTGAAATGCTTTCCTTCCTTTTTGTCTAGTTCTCTCTATTATCCATCAGAACTCAACTCAAGCATCACTTTCCCTGATAAGCCTTCCCTGATTGTTAACGCTACCATAATGAGCACTCCCAGCATCACGTGCTTCTCCTTTGAGGCACATATGAAAATTTCAGTTGTCTACCTGTGTGATCATTTTAGATTGTCTGACTCCCCCTGGACTATCCACAACATTAGGAAAACTATAGAATCCCCAGCATTAGTCTGGTATTTGGCAAATGTCAGGCACTCAATAAATCATAATTAAAAAGATAAACAGATTTCTCTTTTTATTCCCACTAGTATCTGGAACAAATAGGTGCTCAAATATTTTTAACATAGCTAAATTATTAATGGAGCTAATGCTTTCAGAAGTGTTAATTTCTGTTGGAATTTATTTAACTTTCACCAAATTGTACTCTATCTCTTAAAACTGCTATAGTGAGACTCTTTGGTGGGAAGCCAGACATTGTTTTTTTAAGACAAATATTTTTTTTAAATGTGTGATACCTATAAACAGCAACTGGATTCCCCCAGAAAGAACAGTTGAGAAAGAGAGAAAGAGAAATCATCCGTGTAGATAAGAAAGCTTCATTGTGGACCAAGACAGGAATGCTACCTAAAACAAATGGGTATAGGTTATTGACCACAAGAAGAATAAAATTCATTGGTATGTGAAAACAAACTCCCAGAATCACTCTGAGCTCTCCCTTTTAGCCAGCACCATCAATTATGATTATTAAGTGCCTGCTCAGCTGCTGTGCAGTGGAAGAGGCACAGAGGTTTGGTAGCTAGGCAACGGTCTGGAAACTCAAAGGGTAGGAGTTGTGATGCTGGCTCCTCCATAAAAGTGATAAGTGGCCTTGGGTAAACTCCCCTGCCTTGTTTTCTTCATCTGAAAAACAGCATCACCAGTCTGTCTTTCTGCATTGAGGGAAACAAAAACAGAGTGAATGAAACACTGCAATTGTAGGAAAGTGAGTTTATGGGGCCTGGGGAGTGAAGAACGCATCAGGAAACCAA